TAGAAAACGCATTTTAGAAAACGCATTATCCGGTAGGAACACACTCTAGGGGAAACTCCGTCGTGTAGATTTTGATAATTTTTTTTCACCATTGAATTCAGCACATTTTTCTGCGTTGAATGGTTATTCAAACGGAAAAATCTTAAAGAAAACGCATTTTCGCGCGGATGTTATAGGAAAAGTACTTAGAATCGAAAAAATATTGTTACGATAAAAAGCTATACCCAAAATACTACCCCACTAACAGCTTCCTGGGTTTTGCAGGTCGCCAATTCAACGGTGTTTTGCAAGTTTCAACTAACCCGCTTGAACAGGACTAGAATAGCATAGATTGAGATCGGATTGATAGGTAAATCCATTGGGGCAATGCTGAGCCGCTGAATAGGCGATTTGCAAAAAAATGACTTGAATAAATAGAAAAATCATCATTTTTGAATAAAGAGAATAAAGAGAAAGATCAAGAACTGATAAAAGCCTCTTTTATATTTTGACTGGCCCGGATTTTCTTCCGACAAATTCACAAAATACGACGTTCCATTCAAAGGCTTATCTCAAGAAAAGAAGAGGGTAAAAATCATAAGATTTGCAAAGATAAAAATCGGCGAGATTCTAGTTTTTCGGTTTTTTATGCTCTATTTTGGCACAACGAGTACAAAAAGAAGTTTCTGGTAACTCAAAAATCTGAATCCTGTCAGCTCCGAGCCAAACTGATATTTGAGTTACTATTGTTATTATTGAATGATTTGTCTATTCTTATGCAAATGTGTCCTCCCCTGTGCTTATCCCTTTTATTGCCGAGAAGGGGCGGTCCTTGAGATTGCCTAGGAGGACAGTGAGAAGCCTAGGAGGACAGTGAGGAGCCCTAGAAGGACAGTGAGAAGCCTAGGAGGACAGTGAGGAGCCTAGAAGGACAGTGAGAAGCCTAGGAGGACAGTGGGGAGCCTAGGAGGACAGTGAGGAGCCTAGGAGGACAGTGAGGAGCCTAGGAGGACAGTGAGAAGCCTAGGAGGACAGTGAGGAGCCTAGGAGGACAGTGAGGAGCCTAGGAGGACAGTGAGGAGCCCTAGAAGGACAGTGAGAAGCCTAGGAGGACAGTGGGGAGCCTAGGAGGACAGTGAGGAGCCTAGGAGGACAGTGAGAAGCCTAGGAGGACAGTGAGGAGCCTAGAAGGACAGTGAGAAGCCTAGGAGGACAGTGAGGAGCCTAGGAGGACAGTGAGGAGCCTAGGAGGACAGTGAGGAGCCCAGGAGGATAAATGAGACTCTCATTTGGAGCTCCCCCTTCCCCCTTACACTCATTTGTAATCTATTCGTCTTACTGTACTACTGTAAATAAAGATACGTATCTTCCGGGTCTATGCAACTGCAGTACAGGTCGGTCATTTCACAGGGACTCTCCTCTAATACGTTGGAGGAGTTGAGTTGGGTTGTCGGGGTGTTAGAGATGGCGGGATATCAAAAGGGATCCACTCTCTTTAACTTAACCCAAATTCTAGTCCACATCCGTTTATACCTAGGAACGAATAATCTTAAGAAATGTTTTATGCTATCCAGATAAGCAAAAACTAAAATATTTTCAAAATCTGTCTTGCCAAAAAAAGTTATTGCGCTAGGAAAATTTCCATGTAACGGAAGCAACTGTTCAACGGCAGACGCATGGTTTAAAACAAGAAAAGGTTTTGAAAAACCTATGGATAGCTAGTTTAAAGATAAAGTGAGATTAGACTTTGTGGTACGTGGTACTTTTCTTTAAAGAGTGATAACATTTTGGGCAATACCGTGATAACGTGGTAACGAGGTACTTTTAGGAAATGCCCTGGGGATTTCACTAAAGCAAAGGTTACAAATTTAATGTAATAAAAATAGTAGTACCCGCTTGTTTAACACAAAAAAAACCACGCCTTTCGTGACTATAAATTGTTAATGAGTCCTGAGTTAATGAGTTAATGAGTCTCTGTGCATCCTGAGCCCAAACCATCACCTCGCGGGGAACGTTTCCCGCGGGAAAATTGTGGAGGGAAACCTTCCCCGCGCATTTTCCCCGCGCACCTTTTCCGCGCACCTTCACCTAGCGAGAAATGAGTGCTTGTGTGTGAAAAAAGGAGTTTTGGCGTGTTGCGCTATTTATTTGACTGCGCGAGTATCAGTATCTCGAGTATCGAGTATCTTGCGTACTCCGAAGACGTGACCAAGTGTTATCGTGACCAAGTGTTATCGTGACCAAGTGTTATCGTGACCAAGTGTTATCGTGACCAAGTGTTATCGTGACCAAGTGTTATCGTGACCAAGTGGTAAGTGCGCTGTGGTAAGCTTCTTGGCCCTGGTTCGACCCCGGACTTGGGCAAAGCATTTGCTTTTTGCTTTATCTAAAACTTTTATTACTGTTGTAACTTTGTTTTGGACTTTATATTAAGTAAATCTATCAAATCTATCAAATCAAAAATCTATCAAAATCAAATCGTGGAATTACTAGCTGCGCCAGCAACAAGTGTGAACTCGGAACGCGCATTTTCGTTAATATTTCAAACAAATTGCTAACTGTTTATTATTTTAGTTCTGTTGGGCTTATAATCAACAATCCTCGTAAAAAAACGTTTGAGCGATGATACTGCTGCGATGCTGCTCAATATAAGATGCAACCAAGAACGCGTAAAGTTTGTTAATTTTTTGATTTTTTTGGAAAATGCTCTCTTTTAAGGACTAGCTCACAGTTAGCTCACAGTTAGCTTTTAAGGATTAGCTCTGTTCACTCACAATAAACAATCGGTAAGCCTTATCGTCGTATAGCCAATTGATAACTAAAGATCGGAGCTTCTTAGTGAAATCACCGAGATTAATTAAAGCAGAGAATATTTGCGCATGACTTAACTGAAAATGATGTTGCTGCTATCGCTGCCATCAGCATTGTCTCCTATTTTTAGCCTAAAGTTTCCAAAGGTTATTATTCTGTTTGCATAAGAGAAGAGAAAAGAGAAACGAGAGAAACGAAGAGAAACGACGCCCGCTTGGTGAGATAAGCCCTTTCAAGGGAAAGACTCCAATTCTCGGGAATCGATTATTCCCGAGGATTTCCCGATTTCTCATCGAATCGATTTTTCTTCGTAAATATCTGGCAACGATTTCACGTTCGCATTAGCCGCTCTTCCCATCGCCTTTACCACATTCAATTATTTGTACTAAAGCTACAGATTTTTGACAAGACATGGCCTTACCAAGAACGAACCTAGTCTCGCGTAGCCCTATCCATTCACCATTCGGCCAAGTTGGCGTTAATGGTCCGCTTAATAGAGTGGCTGCTCTAAAGCCTCCACCACCCAGACCACCCAGACCAAGTCGAGCTGCGATGGAGCAACTATTCGCACTGCTCGCCATGGAAAGTCTACGGCATGCATCAGAAGAAGTTCCACATCACGATGAACCCGTCGCCAGCACCGCTTTGAGGTCGGTTCGGCTTCTATTCACCAAAACTCTATTCCAAAAAGGCTTTTTTTAGTAATAAGCTCGTTCAAACTCAATGTTTTGTCGATCAGAAAAAAGAATAGAACAATTGTTTCGAAAGTTTTGCTCTATTAGGGTCATACATCCAATTTCTATATCTCTATAATTTTATATCATTCAATTAGTCTTTTTTTCATATCGGAAAGATTGAGTTTAGCTTAGGCTAAACTCAATCTCAACGATCCGCGATCTGAACGGATCAGAACAGATCTGAACAGAACAGAACAGAGCCGGGTTTTAAACAATTTTTTTACGGTAACCGTATGTTTTTATTTTATAAAACACTAGGCTTTATTATAAAAACAACAAAAAACACCCGGCTAGAATGCTCTGAATTTTATTTTTAATTTTAAAATACTCCGAAGTTCGCCTGCAGACAGAGTCATCCTCTCGGTAGCTTCTCAATCAGACTGACGACACTAAATATGCAATTTATAGATAATATACAAAAAATTAGAAGAAAGCAAACACATAGAGAAATAAAAACAAAAAGAAAAACAAAGAGTAACAAAAAATTAGAACAGCAAACACTATTTGAATCTTTTCCCCCCTCATTCTCATCTCCGTCAGCTTCACTGATGTTCAATAGCTCCTCCAGCCTGGTTCCAAGTTTGTCAAGATCGTCGTCGTCGACGTCAAAATCACTGACTGGATCACCAGCTTTTTTAGAGGCTAAAATTTTTTGTAGAATATCTTTTTTCCAATTGTCACAGGAGTCTTTTTTATCTTAGTGACTTTTGTTCCCTTTGCCTTCGAAAAGCACCGATAGCACTCAACCTGCCGATCTCCTCTGATTTTAGCTTGTTATTTTTCGTTGTGATCACGTGCAGCAAACATTGTTCTACATTCAAAGCTTCTCCGAGGCTAATATCTTCTTTTGGATCTGTACTTGATGACTCCTCAGAAGATGACTCGACCCTGTCTGCAGGCGAACTTCGGAGTATTCCAAAATTAAAAATAAAATTCAAAACATTCTAGCCGGGTGTTTTTTGTTGTTTTTATAATAAAACCTAATGTTTTATAAAATGAAAACATATAGTTACCGTAAAAAATCTTGTTTAAGGCCCGGCCGAGATCTGCACCCGCCCCCTTTAATAAAATTCTTGTTTCAAAATAGGGTCATTCCCTTTTAGGCCTTCGCTGGCACCATTACCAGGGTGGCCCTCGTCAGAAAGAAACATGCCAGTACGCACGATTGTGCTCCCACCACCAGCACCTTATTATTCGCCGACCGTTAGCCGAAATTCCGCTTCTTCGTGGGAAACTCGGGAAACTGCTGCTAGTAGCATCCAGGGATCAGTACCACCACCACGACCCCCACCACCCGTCCCAAAGAGAGAAACTTCGAAACCCTCTGAGACGACTTACGCTGCCACTAGAGTAGTAGATGGCGCCGGATCACAAAATCTTCAACCCGCTTTACCAGGAAATTCCATTGAGCAGAAGCAGACGAATGAGAAAAGATCACTTTTCACAAAATTTACCGACTTTGGTGATGGAATGATGAAAAAATTGGACGAAGTTATCGGTTATTCAGGCCCAGAGCACGGCAATCGAGTACCATCTGGCAATTCTCCGCCACCACGCCACCGAAGCACAAACTTTGGCACCAGAAATGGCGTGGATGCTCAACCGTCTCCGCGTTCGTTACGGCGAACTGGCAACAACGGTGGCTCTTTTTCCACCGAATCGACACCGAAATCCCCGCGGATACCACTGGAAACAAGACCAAAACCTGGTGACTGGAGCATGGATGATTCCTGGGAGCATCCACCAGCAAGAAAACAACCTGAATCCTTTCCACAAGAAAGTCCCGCCGTTTGCTTGAAGTGCCGCGATTTCTCGACACCCGATCATCATGCTTCGCGATTCCCCCGACAATCCTATAATAACATTCGGCAATTAGCCATCGAGCTCACTTCACCTTTCTCAGATCCCATCGACAAGGCGAGGGCGATATTCACGTGGATGCACGAGAATATCGCTTACGATGTCGAGAATTTCTTCAATGGTACAGTTAAGGCAAGTACCCCAGAAGCCACGCTACGCTCTGGCCTTGCCGTTTGTGCGGGTTACGCAGATCTCTTTGCCGCAATGGCATCACATGCCAATCTGAAAGCTGTTGTCGTGCAGGGTCACGGTAAAGGTTATGGCTACTGTCGGGTGACTGATGGCCGGATCCCCAAATTCAAGGCAGGTCACGCGTGGAATGCGGTCAAGTTTCCCCATGGCTGGCATCTGATCGATTGTTGCTGGGGTGCCGGCAGTGTTAGTGAGCAAAAGTTCAATAAACGCTTTGCTCCGTCCTTCTTTACGCAATCGCCCGAGGAGTTTCGGTGTCGGCATTTCCCATCGAAAGCATCAAATCAGCATTGCAGAGACACAATATCCTGGGAAACGTATATTCTCATGGATGATGGACCGACAATCTACAGGGATTTCACGGATGCCCGTGTCGACTTTTCACCGTACACATTAGAGCCAGCCACACTGGTTCTAGCACCGAAAACTCGGTACCAGTTTCGGGTGACTCGATCCTGTGAACATCAAGGACAAACACCGTTGGTCGTGTTGCTCTGTGTGGATGGGAAGGAAAAGCTTCCGTTGAGGAACGATGGACGCGGTGGATTGACCTGTACGGGTACAACGGGTTCAACAGGAACCACACTCAGCTTAATGTACATTACAAACCTTGATGGAAAGCCTAGCGGAAGTTTCACCGTCGATTATTATGAGTCGCGAGTCGGCCGAGCTGCCTATTCATTTTCCGGCCTCTGCCAATGGACTGTTGGGTAGACTTGTGGCCCACTCGGGCCCTTCTCGGGCCCTTCTCGGGCCCTTCTCGGGCCCCACTCGGGCCCCTCTCGACCCTGAGGATGCATCAGATATTAAACAGATATACGATACTTAGAGATCTATAGAATTTATAAACTTTACCAATGCCAACTTTGCCAAAGAGAATAAAATTATTCATTCTACTTCTTGCTCAAAAGAAACCTTCCTCACGAACCTCTCCATCGTTTTTCCGTGCCCGGAAACTCCGGTATATCAAGTATCAGCTATCCAAGTGGCGACAAGCGTTGATCGAAAAGCTTCCGACTCAGATTTGTGTAAGAACTTTGAAAAACGACACTACCATAGAGTGTTTTCAGTTCAGAGCGCCCGCCACTACGACTGGATGATGGGACTGATCACGATTCATCACAGCGAGCATCAGAAACTGATCCAATTGATCTACCGAAAAACCTACAATGAGCATGATGCAGAAATTAACTTTTTACTAATAAACATGTTTTTTGTTTTGTCAGCTGTTGCAAATAGTCATTACTTTTTGTCAATCAACCCGCCACCAGCTGACTAACATTCTTTCACAGTCCATCAAACAAAATTTAGCCAGACGAGCCTTATAGTTCAACAAGTAACTTTATTTCGTCTCAATTCCCAATTCCAAAGTAGATAGCCGCCAAAAATCACCAAAAGAGAATCATTTTTCGCGAAAAAACTATCGCAAGATCTCGAATTGCAGCTGAAATCTCATCGGAATAAAGTTCACGCGCTTCAAAAAGAGGCTGGCCGATTAGGGATTGGATGGCAGTAAAGAAGAGTTAGGCAAAACTTTCTTTTAAATAAGCCAATAGTTCGAGAAGCAAGTACAAGTACAGAGTCTATTACCCTGACTCATTGCTTTGACCCCATCTCTGCGAAGGCTGCAAATGAGAGAAGGCACGTTTTTTCTTGGATCCGAATTTGTCTCAATAGCCAAAGGCTAGATCATGGTAATGCCCAGTAACCAGAGAAATGCACAATGTGTTTGCAGTCATCCACCCAAACCAGTTTTGGTTTTTTCCGGGAGCCTTCGAAATGCTTATGTGTTACATGCTTTGAAACTGTTACCGTATTTTCTCTAATAGTAGTACACCCCGGCGAGCCGAGTTGGTGATGATTTTACGGTTTCCAAGCTTTCGCAGAAGCTCAAGACTCTACTCCAAGGGTAGGGTCTCCAAATCCTACCGTAACCTTGGAGTACGGAGTCGCTGAAGCCCTGGAGTCGTTGCATGCTTTTAGTCGACTACAGTACTTCAAGACTGCAGTACTCCAAGGGTAGGCCCTCCAAATCCTACCGTAACCTTGGAGTACGGAGTCGTTGAAGCCCTGGAGTCGCTGCATGCTTTTAGTTGACTACTACCAGGAGTTTTAAAGTTTTATGAGTACTGGAGTACTGAAAATCTACTCTTAATGGTAGCTGTAGCTACTATTGTACCAAGTACTACTACAGAACTGTAAGAAACGAATGTACAAGTACTGTATCTATTTGATCATAATATGATCATATGATTCTTTCATAATTAGGAGATCCGGCTAGGAGATCATAATAGGATCTCCTAGCCGGATCTCCTAGCCGGATCTCCTAGCCGGATCTCCTAGCCGGATCTCCTAGCCGGATCTCCTAGCCGGATCTCCTAGCCGGATCTCCTAGCCGGATCTCCTAGCCGGATCTCCTAGCCGGATCTCCTAGCCGGATCTCCTAGCCGGATCTCCTAGCCGGATCTCCTAGCCGGATCTCCTAGCCGGATCTCCTAGCCGGATCTCCTAGCCGGATCTCCTAGCCGGATCTCCTAGCCGGATCTCCTAGCCGGATCTCCTAGCCGGATCTCCTAGCCGGATCTCCTAGCCGGATCTCCTACAAACCTTTTTTCGGAAACCTCCTATAGTTTTGTTTTTATATTATGATAAACCGTCCAAAAACTCCAAAATCGACCCGGTTGGGGGTCTGGAAACAAAACTTAAAATTTTATATGACCCATCTGCCCATAGACCGGATTCAGCTTTTGGGAATGAAAAGCGTTCCTCCTCCAAGTAGAATAAACCAAGTCATTTGCAATTTTGATAATTATTTAAAGAAATGATCGAGCACAAAAAATAGACACATAAAAGTTTAGCTGAATCCCCATAACTTTAAAAACCCTTTTGACAATATCTTTGTTTTCAAAGTAAACTTTTTGTTATAATTTTGTCTTTTTTCTTGATCTGTTTTAAATTCTCAAAAACTGATAGATTATTTATACTTTTCTATCGATGTTTTTTTATCCGACTGCACTTTGGCCGGCATTAATCGCATCGGTGACGTCGATGTTGCAACCGCACGATGTGGCTTTCGTTTGGCAAGCGACCTAGAAATTATTTAATAGATATTCTCTGACGTAATATGAGAATGTTATTAAATAGAGATTAGAGTCAATCATTTCAAAAATCCCGAAAAAGTGCTCGAGTTTCTTTTTGTTAACTAACAAGGGAAGATCAAGTGAGCAAAGAGGTCAACTGGCATGTTTTATATACGATTCGACGCAGAATTTCACGCTGATTCCGAATATGGTTTCAGTTTTTTCCATGCGCTATCCTATTAAAAGGCATACGAGTTTAAGGCTATCCTATTAAAAGGCATAAGTTTTACAAAGCATTTTCGAACTCAAGGTTAAATTATGATAAGTTAGTTTCCCAAAGGCGTTTCAAAAGCGTCAGTGACAGAGTGGTAGTCGGTTAGCATGGGAAGCGAACATTCTCTGGTTCGACTCCCCCTTCATTTTTGCTTCAAGATTAATTTTGCGGCTAATTTTGAAACGGAGAACACCGAAGTTGGTCAAAGAAAAAAAAGCAAAGATGAAGTCGATCAAAGTCGAACCAAAGAATGTTCGCTTTCCATGTTCGCTTCCCACGTTCGCTTTCCATGTTCGCTTCCCATGTTCGCTTCCCATGTTCGCTTCCCATGTCCGCTTCCCATGTTCGCTTCCCATGTTCGCTTCCCATGTTCGCTTCCCATGTTCGCTTCCCATGTTCGCTTCCCATGTTCGCTTCCCATGTTCGCTTCCCATGTTCGCTTCCCATGTTCGCTTCCCATGTTCGCTTCCCATATACCACCCGGTCACCTACGCTTTTGAAACGCCTTTGGGAAACTAACTTATCATAATTTGATCTTGAGTTCGAAAATGCCTTGTAAAACTTTAAACTCGTATGACTTTTGATAGGATAGCGCATAGCAAAAACTGAAACCATATTCGGAATGAGTGTGAAATTCTGCGTCGAATGGTCTATGGCTCATGTCATTTGGTCACATTCTGGTCATACCTTTCCCTTGTAAGTCATCAATATGAGAAAAATTTTGAATCTTTCGATTGATCTTTGTTGACCTCATTGCTCACTTGATCTTCCCTTGTAAATATTATAATTTAAACAGCTGAAAAGCCCGCCTAATGGCGGGTTTTACTAGCTGGATGTTGGGGAACTGACGCATGGTCACGGTGGCGCAGTCGGGAGCGGGCTTGTCTACGGCCTACACGGTTCGGGCTCGACTCACGTAGTGATTTTTTGGTTTTTTATTTGAAATGGCACAACTAGATTATATTTTGAGACTTTTCAAGAAGTTTCAGTTTTTTTGGCCCAAAGAAGACGGCTGAGAAAAGACAGACAGACGGACGGACGGACGGACAGACGGAAGGACAGACGGACGGACAGACACTGCTCTTTTATATATCTACTATCTAAAAGAGAAGTGTCGGTCCGTCCGTCCGTTACACTGGATCTCGGCTCCCCGTGAACCGATTTCGACAAACTTTTTTTGGATCAATAGGAAATGAAAAATGAATAGGTACATGCTTTTTGGTTAAAACAAGTTTTTCATCAAAAACCCGTAAAAAAGTCAGAAAAACCACTTGACCACGTCGCTTTTTGGCTTCGGTGGCGCTCTCGGAGAGATGGGGGCATAGTCGAGGTGGTTAGCGGCTTGTCTACAAAAAGGACTGCCCTGAGGGGGTGTCGGGTTCGATTCCCATTCGCCCGTTCAAACTTTTTTGCTTTAAATGTTTTCAAGCATGGAGTTGAAGTATGCAAATTTAACCAGAAAAGGACCAGAAAAGGACCAGAAACCCAACCAGAAAAGTAGTAGATAAGGAAAAAGAAAAGGAAACAGTTTTACGATAGTTAAACTTACCGTTGACTTGTCTCGATATCCTTGATACGCTCCCGCATAATTGGGAACGTATTTATCGTAGAGTGACTGCATCTGTTTCACTGTTGTTCTCGCTTTGACACTCTGGAATTTTAATAGAGCTAATATCATGAGCTAATGAGTTAGTATCGGCTTTTGCATCCTCCCTTTGAATGGTCTTTTTGAATGTTTGAATGGACATTTTTAGCACCACTTGAATGGTATGTAGAGTTGGTTAAAGTACTATTTTCGATCTTTTTGCATAAACTAGTGTTGAATCGATTTTCAAGCCAATTAGCATTTTGCAGAAAATATTCTTACAGTAAGCGCATCAGAAATGTTTCGTATTGTTAAAGCAACTGTTCTTAGCTGTTCAATTGTATTGTTAAAGCAGCTGTTCTTAGCTGTTCAACTGTATTGCCAGCTGTTCTTAGCTCTTCAATTGTATTGTTAAAGCAGCTGTTCTTAGCTGTTCAATTGTATTGTTAAAGCAACTGTTCCTAGCTGTTCAATTGTATTGTTAAAGCAACTGTTCTCATCGTCTACAGATCTCACGGTACTTTGAGACTTTGAAGACTAGTTATTGAATAGAATAAACTCTGTGAACTAGGTAATAGGAAAATGAGGCTAGTTTTTAAAATAGGATATTCATATTTTCAAGAAAACAAACTCACATTGAAACACGACTGGAGGAGTGTCTTTGTTTGCAAATATTGCACACACAAATCGCACACATTGTTTTGAATGGTGGTCTTGTCCAAAGTGGTGATCCATTTCTTGTATTTCGGGACAAACTAAAAGAAGTCTTCAATGAGTTCCTGCTTCCGGAGTACCTGATTTTTATATGGACCTTTGAGACACTCCAAAACGGCACAAATCAAGCCATCAGCGATTGTTTGCAGGTTGAAGCCGCTGGTCTGAAAATGATGCGATTGAATGCTTGTCTGCATAGGATTTCGGTACTCTACTTGTACTTGGTAAAGGCTAAAGTGTACTTGTTAAAAAGTGGACTTGATTTTCTGTAACTTCCTGTATTGGTACTTTTGCAATAAAAGCATTTGGCTGTCTATAAAGCTACAGGATTACTCATTAGTTAGAATTTTAAGAAGCAGCCGGATTACGGTAGCTTTTTCCAGAGCATTACAGAACATTGCTGGAGGTGACATATTTCTACAACTTAAGCACACTAGCTACAGGATTACTCTATTGAGTAGCCTATTGATTACTTTACTTTACCTACTTTACTTTACTTACTTTACTTTACTTACTTTACTTTGCTTACTTTACTTTGCTTACTTTACTTTGCTTACTTTACTTTACCTACTTTACTTTACTTACTTTACTTTACTTACTTTACTTTGCTTACTTTACTTTGCTTACTTTACTTTGCTTACTTTACTTTTACTCGAGTAAAACCTTACATTTTCTCGAGTAATTACTTACTCACGAAAAACGCACTCTACTGTTTATTTAAAATATTTGTTAAGCAAACTTTCATACGAGCTGTATATTTAGATGTCTGGAGAACGCAAAGTGCTCAAGCGTACGCGCAAAAGAGGGGTATTCCAAAGAAAGCCTCCGCCAATCTCATCAAAGGCTTCAAAGGTGCAATGGCCAATGGAGTTGGGCCGGGAGCTGATGTTAGGCTGATGAAAATGTAAGGTTTTACTCGAGTAATTACTTACTCGTGAGGAACACACTCTACTTGTGAGAGTCGAACTATGACTGGTCGCAAATGCAATTGTGATTTCATCCTTTAAAAAGCCAACACAAAAGAATTTTGGTCATAAATAAGGAAAAAGAACGAGATGAAACAATAAAATTGTCAAAACAGGATTCGCTCTATAATTTTGGAACACCCTGTACTCATTAGTTAAATTTTAAAAAAGCAGCTGAATAAGTGCATTATTCACTATCAGTCCGACAGTCACTTATACAGCACCTAAAGCTTGAGCTTGAGCTTGAGCTTGAGCTTGAGCTTGAGCTTGGGCTTGAGCTTGAGCTTGAGCTTGAGCTTGAGCTTGAGCACTGTACTTGTGTTAAGTCAAAGCTGCTGTACTTGTGCAGTCGTAAGTACTGTACTTGAGACTTTAGAAACTCACCGTAACAATAAGCATAGCCGATGTGGCATCGATGGCCAACTTTCCGGCAGTAGCCGGATTGTACTTGGTGGCGCACGAAATGAGGGAATCCAAATTGGCCACCGCGTAGTCTTTCACCACTAAATGCAATTTTTGAACCATTTATACATATCGAGAATCTAAAATTGCTAATAACCAACATCCTCCAATCTCGCACATCGTCGGCACGGCTTTATTGCCGCCGTTGACTCGATTTTTCACCCAACTCAATGTTTGATTGCCGATCTCCATGGCAAACTGAATAAAAGACGAATTGAATTAAAAATTAATCAAAAAAAGGCAAGCGAATCGACTTTGCTATGTGATTTGTGGATTTTGGAACTTATCTGCGAGCTGAAACTCATTGGCAACAATGTTTTAAAGCCCTAATACTAGCCCTAATACCTCATCCATCCATTACAGTGCTAACAATCGAATTATTCAAGGTATATTGCCAGATTCAGATTTGGAAGGGTTTTAGATGTGGTACTAGACCAGTTATTAGTACCAGTTCATTACTATCGATCGATCTCTGATCTAGCAGAGTTTATCGTTATTTGGACAGTTACGGAATAGCTTATTTCACTCAGAATAGCTAGCTTTGAACAGCAGTCAGCTAGCTTTGAACAGCAGTCAGCCAGCTTTGAACAGCAGCCAGCTAGCTTTGGACAGCAGCCAGCTAGCTTTGAACAGCAGCCAGCTAGCTTTGAACAGCAGCCAGCTAGCTTTGGACAGCAGCCAGCTAGCTTTGGACAGCAGCCAGCTAGCTTTGGACAGCACAGCTAGCTTTGGACAGCCAGCTACTTTGGACAGCACCAGCTATTTGACAAGCTAGCTTTGAACAGCAGCTACTAGCTTTGGATAGCAGCCATGCTTTGGACAGCAGCTAGCTAGCTTTGAACAGCAGCCAGCTAGCTTTGGACAGCAGCCAGCTAGCTTTGGACAGCAGCCAGCTAGCTTTGGACAGCAGCCAGCTAGCTTTGGACAGCAGCTAGCTAGCTTTGAACAGCAGCCAGCTAGCTTTGGACAGCAGCCAGCTAGCTTTGGACAGCAGCCAGCTAGCTTTGGACAGCAGCCAGCTAGCTTTGGACAGCAGCCAGCTGCTTTGGCGCTCCGCTTTTAGCCGCTAGCTTTGGATAGCAGCTAGCTAGCTTGACAGCAACCAGCTAGCTTTGGACAGCAGCCAGCTAGTTTCGAACAGCAGCTAGCTTCGAACAGCTAATTTCATTCAGTTCCTCATTTTTTTAAAAGAAAGATTGTAAAAAGATTTTGAAAGATAACTTCATCAAAAGAAAACTTCATCAAATCACTCACTCCCCACATAACTTTCTTGTCCAAAATCGTCGTCTTATTGATGATTGTTTTCACGATTGAATCAAAGCAAGTACTACATTTTGTCGGGATTTTCGCCGTCGTATCAGCTGGACAACTAGCCGCATACAAAGATGAGATCAGTGACAAGGAAATCAATAAAAGTAGTTGATTTCTCATTTCGAATAAATTGATTCGACAAAAAAGCTTTGACCAGAATAGGTTTATTTTCGAATTTTTCAAAGTTTTATACTCGGATCATTACCCATTTATGATTGTCGATAGCTTTTTGTGTGAAAAAACGGTTTTACTTTTTAGAAATTTTAATGAGCTTTCGAAAAGCGGCCAATTTCATGGTGTCTGATGGTCAAAAGCTCGTTTAAAGGGCTAAAAAATTGAGCTGTTGTCGATCTGTGAGCACGAAAAAGTGGAAGCAAAGGTATGAAAACTGCCTAATGCCGAAAACTTCCGAACTTAGACTCAACATCGAAAAAAAAGGCTTTGCAGGAGTGTACTTTGTACAGATTATTGTCCTAATATGGACTGGATAATGATTTGAAGTGGTATCGGGTACAATGATCACTCATCACCGGATTGAAATATTGGGTTGGTGAATTGACCGCTTAATAGAGTGGCTGCTCTTCATAGAGTGGCTGCTCTTCATAGAGTGGCTGCTCTTCATAGAGTGGCTGCTCTTCATTGAGTGGCTGCTCTTCATAGAGTGGCTGCTCTTCATAGAGTGGCTGCTCTTCATTAGAGTGGCTGCTCTTCACAGAGTGGCTGCTCTTCATAGAGTGGCTGCTCTTCATTGAGTGGCTGCTCTTCATAGAGTGGCTGCTCTTCATAGAGTGGCTGCTCTTCATTGAGTGGCTGCTCTTCATTGAGTGGCTGCTCTTCATAGAGTGGCTGCTCTTCATAGAGTGGCTGCTCTTCATTGAGTGGCTGCTCTTCATAGAGTGGCTGCTCTTCATAGAGTGGCTGCTCTTCATTGAGTGGCTGCTCTTCATTGAGTGGCTGCTCCACCACCCAGGTGGTCACCCAGACCAAGTCGAACTACGATGGAGCAACTAGTCGCCTCCTTCTCCATTTAGTTAGAATTCTCTCGTTTTGTCTTGTGAAAGTTCATTTCTTTTGTTTATTAGATAATTTTACAATATAGGTACTTAGATACTTTCATATTAGACACTTAGATCAGATACTTTCAAAATTTTCATCAAAGTGATTCCTTTTTGTCTTTAGACCAACACATTGTTTCTTTGAGCACATTGTTTGAGCAAAACATTGTTTCGTTGAAACATTTTCACACGCTTTACTCCATTGTATTGAATAAACTTGGTTTTGTTATTGATTCAAGCAAATGCGTACAAGTCTAGCCACGTCTAGTGAACACGCAGTTAATGTGGACACTAGTGAACACTTGTAATGTGGACACTAGTGAACACTTGTAATGTGGACACTAGTGAACACTTGTAATGTGGACACCAGAGAACAGGCAGTTAATGTGAACACTAGTGAACACTAGCAATATGAACGCTAGTGAACACTTGTAATGTGGACACTAGTGAACACTTGTAATCTGGACACTAGTGAACACTTGTAATGTGGACACCAGAGAACACCCAGTTAATGTGAACACTAGTGAACACTAGCAATATGAACGCTAGTGAACACTTGTAATGTGGGCACTAGTGAACACTTGTAATGTGGACACCAGAGAACACCCAGTTAATGTGAACACCAGAGAACACCCAGTTAATGTGAACACTAGTGAACACTTGCAATGTGAACACTAGTGAACACTTGTAATGTGGACACTAGTGAACACTTGTAATGTGAACATTAGTGAACACTTGTAATATGAACACTAGTGAACACTTGTAATGTGAACAATAGTGAACACTAGTAATGTGAACGCTAGCGAACAGCAAGTTAGTTTTGAGACAAAGTATTTGTTGGTGTTTTCAACATAATGCTTTTAAATTTATGGTAAAATGAACTTCGGTCATTTATTCAACGAAAATTTGTTTGATTCACCACATCGCTGACGGTGATGTTGCATCCACAAAGGATCGATTTCGTCTGGCAAGCCACCTGAACAAAGTTATTAGGCCAAAAAATGAAACTCATGAACTATTCTAAAGCTGTAAACGGACCAATGCGTTGTCACGGAACGATTGATAGAGCTTGAAGTACTTTGGCACATAGACATCGTAAAGTTTCTGCATAACGGGCACTTTTGTGCGAGCTTTGGCTGCCTGAAGAGGAAAAGAGTTGTTTCCGGCAATAGATCGGGTTCAATCACGATGAAAACTTGTCAAAAATGGGGCAGTTTTTGCTAGATTTGATACTAATTCCTTAAAATTAGCCAAACCAGCACTGAAAATAACCAGCACGTCTTTCCGGAAGCCAATATCGACTAAACTAACAATATCGACAAACTCACATTGAAGCATTTCTGCACAAGCGGAATTTGATTGATATTCTCGGCGATGAGCGCGCAAACATTGTTTTGAATGGTGGTTTTGTTTGGAGCCGGACACCACTTTTTAAACTTCGGCACAAACTGGAATTCGATTAAACTCGAAATTAGAAATTAGAACTCGAATAAAAACAGGGGTGACCGCGAATTATGGCGAAACCTTTTTTTTGGGAAAGTTTCTGGCAAACGCTTGACTTATTACCAAAGTGTCAAGTGTTGTATAGCAAAAATAAAACCCTTTATCTTGGCATCATTTATCTATAAAGAACTTTTTAATCAATCTAAAGATCAAGCTAAATATCAAGCTAAAAATCAAGCTAAAGCTCAATCTAAAGTTCAATCTAAAGCTCAATCTAAAGCTCAATCTAAAGCTCAATCTAAAGCACAATCTAAAGATCAACCTAAAGATCAACCTAAAGATCAATCTAAAGATCAACCTAAAGATCAATCTAAAGCTCAAGCTCAAGCTAAAGCTCAAGCTAAAGCTCAAGCTAAAGCTCAAGCTAAAGCTCAATCTAAAGATCAATCTAAAGCTCAATCTAAAGCTCAAGCTAAAGCTCAAGCTAAAGCTCAAGCTAAAGCTCAATCTAAAGATCAACCTAAAGCTCAATCTAAAGATCAATCTAAAGCTCAATCTAAAGCTCAATCTAAAGCTCAATCTAAAAGAAACCTCATTTGTGAAAAGTGGTTTTAGGCACTCCATCAGCGCGCAGATAAGCCCTTGTCCAATTTCGTCGATTTTGAACTGGTTCACCTAAAACATAAATAGTTACTGTTTAAAAAAAGTAGCAAACAACTTCGATTTTTTCAATTAATAATTTACCGTAAATACTGTAATTGGACCCCACCCCTCTAATAATACCCCACCCTAAAGGGGGAGGGAAAAATAGTACCCCATGGGGTCCAATTACAGTATTTACGGTAGGTATTTACAAGTGTTTCCTCTATGGTCGGGTAGTCATTATTAACGTAATTTTAAAAGTTCTTTAAGTTCAAAATTTGAGGCACAAAAAGCCGCGTCCCAGAGGCTCCATGGAGATTTCAAAGTTTTATAGAATTGCTAATTTTGAGTTTCTGAGTAAAGTTTCAAAGTAAATTGTTGAAAATAAGCACTAAATTCTACCAACAAAAATGGGAAATGGTTGGGAATGGGAAATGGTTAACTCGAAGCGGAGCTACGCACTAGAGAAAAAGTGGCCGGAATTCTTGAACACCGTGTAGACTATCAGGTTGATCGGAAAGTCTTCTCCGCTTTTTTTAAAGGTTACTTTTTAAAATAAATAATGAACCAATCGAATTTATGGCTTGTTTTATCAGAAAGTCTTATTATTTATTTACAAATTGCCGTTTAATAAATTCTGAAAAGCTAGCGTTAGTTCATTTTTTTAAAGGTGTTAAGTCGAGGAGTGAAATCGGCTGAAACTCAATCCTTTTGAGCACTTTTTCTCACAGAAATCTATTTTGATGTCAAAAGACAAAAGATAGAGAATAAAAAGTTAGGTAGATAAGCAAAACTTCAGAGAAATTGTTTCAGCCGATTTCATTCTATGTTCATTGTAAGGATTTTAGGAAAAACAAGAATTCCGGTATCTTTTCTAAAGTTTCTTTCAGAAAATCTTCATTAGTTTCTCAGGAAAATACAAGAAATCCCAGTTTCAGCTACAAAAACTAAACAAAAGTTACAAGAAAATCGTCGAAAACCTCACTCCAACAATGGTCATCACAGCGGGCACATCCATCGCCACCATCGCTGCCGTTTTCTGATCGTACTTTGAGACACAGGCCATCAAAGTGTCCACTTTGTCAAATGTGTAGTTCTTAATGACTAAATTCTTGATTCTTGATGAGTTCTGATGAGTTCTGATGAGTTCTGATGAGTTCTGATGAGTTCTGATGACAAATTTTGTCCAATATTTTGAATTTACAAAATTAAAGATTTAAATGCACTTACAAACTGGAATTTGACAATTTTATAGTCTACAATTTGACAATCTACAATTTGACAGTCTATGACAGTCTACAATTTGACAGTCTACAATTTGACAGTCTATAATTTGACAGTCTATAATTTGACAGTCTACAATTTGACAGTCTACAATCTGACAGTCTATGACAGTCTACAATCTGACAGTCTATGACAGTCTACAATTTGACAGTCTACAATTTGACAGCCTACAATTTGACAGTCTATGACAGTCTACAATTTAACAGTCTACAACTTGACAGTCTACAACGTGACAGTCTACAACTTGACAGTCTACAATCTGACAGTTTTATAGTCTACAATTCGACAGTCTACAATCTGACAGTCTATAATTTGACAGTCTACAATTTTGCAGTCTACAATTTAACAATTCCTACTTACCATTTCCAATCTCACACATCGTCGGTACCGTGCAGCCAAGTTGGGCTTTCCGTGCTTTCAGCCATTCCCACGCGAAATTGCCGATTTGGTCAGCGAACTGTGAGCCAGCATTTGAAAATGTTAATCATTTCTCACTCACTCCCCACATCGTTGATTTGGTGAGAATTG